ACCAACCAAACAACCAACCAGCCAACCAACTAACCAACCAAACAACCAATGAACCAACCAACCAACGAACAACATAACTCACCAAAACGTCCGAGTACAAATGGTAGCCTAGGACACGGAATTTCTAAAAGCTCCATTTTGTGCGCACTGTGGACAAGGCGCAGCTGTCGTGTACCTTAGCATCGGATTATTTCACACAAAAGAAAATTAGTTTACTTATAAAATTGTTAAATGAAACCTTCTTTACACTCCGGATGTCTAGTTTTCAGGCACCTATTTCGATACAAAAAGAGACTTTATGTTGCACAGAGGAAGAAAACCAAACGCCAAGGAATTGCTTATAAACGAACTACTTATGTGTTACCAGTAGTTCCTTCTCTTTATGAAGTAGAATAATATTGATTATATGAAACCGGGCATATCAGCATCTTCAAGTCATGTTCAGTTATGCAGTTCACCGGCAATAGTCATGTGCGCCAATCTTAAAAATGATTCACAGTCATCCTATATAAACGGCATTTTCTGCAGCATGCACCATGTTGAGATGCAGCGAAATGGTCCTGGACATAAATCGTGCATTATTGCTATATGGTTTTTTCTTTTGAAATTAATCTCGGGAAAGATTTGCTTCGGTCATCCATTTTGCGACAAATGAATAAAGTGCTTTTTGACGAACCTAATTTCTTATTCAAGATGAGATGGATCATTTTGTGGATCAAAATGTTCGACAAACTGACTTGGATATAGATTGGTGACCAATATGCATAAAACACATTTCTTCAGTATCGCATCCAACCGACAATTCAGCATACATTTGTGTTGAATACTTATCTCGGTGGTCAATCTTGTGAAATTGTTTAAAAAAATTGAACAATTTTAGCGCTAATTCATCAACTTTGTCCTACATTAATCTACACAGAGAATTCAACAAACCTCAGTGTTTGCGATGATCAGCTCTGATTGCGGACCACGCGCCTGGTTGGCAGTGAGGAGATAGCAGTGAATGGTACACAGCAGGGAGTAAGCAACTTCCAGTCACAAGTAAATCATACTTGACAATGACATTTTCAAACAAACTGCTCCAAAAATGGCAAAGTGCAACCCACGATTGTGTTAATCCGTGTGACATTTAGCAACAGCATATTCGACGTTTGACACTGCCAAAAACTAGTTTATATGAGACTGAATGCTGTGAACAACAAGAAAAACAATGCACAATACGGACTGATAGGAAGAAGCTTGTTTTTTTTTATTGGGTTGCTCCAGAAAAGTGTTTTTGCAACTTTCGTGAAAAACTAATTTGTACGAGAGATAACTTTATTGGAATACCCACGGTTTCAGCACAAAGCGTTTGCGGTAGTTGCCAGCGCACGAATAGCATGCACTAGATAGAACGCCACTTTTCCGATAACACTGACGAATAAAACTTTGAATATTAGACTATCAATGGAATGGTTTTCTTTTCTTTTCCATTTTTACCTCCTTCTATTGAACAGACAAAGATACAACTTTCAGGAAGGGAGAAGCGGCCAATAAAACGGCTGCTATACAAAACATATTGAGGAAAGTAGGGCAATGGTTGTGGGAATCTAACCCAAGCCCTTCGGGGTGATAATCTAGTGGCGCTACCATCGGGCCACCATCATCCGAATTATTTCCTCACTGTAGCTGTTTATTTGTGCCAACATCAAACAACACAAAAAAAATTGCAAAAGGTGTACGGTGAAACACACAAAAAATTCTGTTATCTTGTATTTTCCCATGTTTCATCCACTTTTCACCATGTTCTGTATCTTAATCCACCTATCCTCTTTCACTGTTATTGTTGCTGCGTTGGCACCATGCTTGTTTTCAAGCCGGTGGTAAATATATATATATCTATATGTGCAATCACTTGCAGATAATTAGTGGAGTAATTTCTCTATCCATTTTGATACTGGGGCTGATTCTCATTATTATTACGAGAATCCTCCAAAATTTGTTTCTGTCTAATGTACTTTCGCCACCTTGCATTAACCAAGCAGTCAATTGTCCCTCACTTACTCTTCGAATTGACCATTGAGGCCAATTGAGTACTAACGGCTGTATTCAGATACATCTTGAGATTTTGAAGCAATGAAGATTGTAACTACTTGACCGTTTTTAGTTATTTGGCTTCAGGACGGAATATTATAACTGCTATTATATCCAAAATGTTTTGCTTTGAACAAAATACTTTTAGTGGAAATCGCGGAAATTTTAAAGTGTCGGCTTTGCTTTTATTGATGTAAGTAAATATCCGGATGCTTATAACGGTACCCGTATTTGCGATTCATAAATTACTTTCATCAGAAAATAAGTAAATACCTGATCGGTTCGCGGTGTAACTGGGGTATGCAATGAAACGCAACAGTAGTCCTCTCACCTCATTTTGACACTCTGAATAGGTTGAACAGATGAGTAGAGGGAAAGTTATTCAATACTAACAGACAATACTTGTCATGTTAATAACATCTATTGTTTTTGATGTGTCATGAAAATGCCATAAATTTAGTATCATAAGACATGCTTGTGATCTTGGAGACTGGAGCAGACTCATTTATTCATGATCTGTGAATATGCACACCTGAATTACAAGAAATGGAGATACTCGATTCGTGGACAGTTGAGACAGTCAGGTTTTTAGGCATACGCTGATCTCGATGAAAACCATTCATTTTTTAATGTGAGAAGTTGACCAACTTCTCACTTTTTCCGTCAAATGCATCGTCATTTTTCAGTTGGTGAAATCACTTCGTAAGAGAAGATTACAATTTGATCAACCTTATCGAAGTGCATCAGTGTTATTGCGAGCGTTAAGAAAGCTATTTGTACGCTCGATGCATCCCATTCATGTTTATGCACAGTTCTCTCCTATTTTGCGTGGGCATCACACACACTACCACTTGTTAATGCGTGTGATCGATAAACCCATCCGGCTGACTAGCAGTAAGGTTGAGGGTATGACTTGGACCAGGCCAACTGGCCTCATAGAGACCAGTAGAAGTGGGGAAGCCACGTCACTACCCGCCTCCTGCCATCCCCTGACATTCAGACCGTGTAAGGGCGTGGTTTTCACCTCTCTCTCTATTCTTGTTTCCGATTGGGTGATCTGAAGGTGAACTGTATGAAGCCGACTTGACGCGAACCACATTGAGATAGGGATACCAGCTCCCGTGATAAAAACGTGCCTCATCACAGGTCAGTTACGGTCATCTGAATTTGGTGCCATCACGAGATTGGATGCGTCAGTCTAAGGGTTTTATCGATCCATACTTACATACACATAAAAGACAATCGGTTACACCATCAAACAGAGATGAACGATCAAGGCGAGAGATAATCAGTGCATACATTTCTTTCAGAATATCTCAGTTTAATTGTATATCGTTTCAAAAGACGGAAATCTCTACGAAGTAGTTTAATGGTCAACCAATACTAAAGCGTTAGGGGATGATAACTTAAAATACACTGCAGAAGGATGACATTCTGGTTTGATCTAGTCCAGTATAGAAAATTAGAGGAATATGAGCATATTCTATTCTGTGTAAAAATCGTGCTCTACGAATAGTTTGTTGTGTCACAGTATTCACATAACACACACAAAATATTGACAATTATTGTTCAGAGGATCAGACAATACACATCAGTGCCAAGTGTCATTGTTTTCATTTCAAGTCAAAATGAAACATGTTTACCGGACTTCATTCGGGCCGTGTACTTATGTGCACACGTCTGTTGTCTGTGTGTGCACATGTACTGTGAAAGTATGAATCGTCACACCAAACCTTACATTGGCGATCATACACTGATGTGTCCATACCGATTGGTGGTGGAGTTAGTTCTTCTGTTACCATGACACCGATGCGAAACGTTCAAGCAAAACCGATCGATTGTGTTCACGCATGTGTCTGCACTAACAAAGCAATACCTTCTTGTGTGAACGCACCACAGACGTAGAGATGTGTAAGACGCCGTTACTGGTAGGGCTTAACTCCTTTCAGTTTCCGGAGACAAATGATTTTTGTTACAAAAAATTAGCCCACTTATAGACATACAGCTTCAGTTAAGTCTGATCAGAGCTCAAACAAATATAACATAAAATTTAATTGTACTCAGTATGCAACTTTAGACATGAGTTGGATACAGAATCTTCGTCTATGAAGATAATATTAGGAAATAAAATTTGTTGAAGTATGACCGTTTGACAGATAGATATTGATTATACTACGGGAAATACCATGCTGATTCTCATTTTTCTGATATTTACCAGTTCATAAATCAATCAAATTCAGTTTCAGGTTACGCAATCATTATTCTTCCGATTTTGTGTACTGGTTTCGGTTGTTTTTGGTCTCCTTTACTGTTCAACAGTGAGAGAGAATTAAGTGAAGAAGTGAAACACTGAGAGCAGCTCCACCTAAATAAAGATAAATGGAATAGAACAGAATTTGGTCTCTGTAGTTTTAGCTAGAGTTAATGGGTTTGAAATCACTTAATTGTAAACTTACAAACTTCCCAAAATTATCATCCCGTTTTGTCCCTGTTTGACAAGGCTACATCATCCAATAATCCACCCTGATTGATTTAGTTGCTAAGGCTTATTTTTAGTCGCCTCAAGTATTAGCAAATAATAGTCACCGAATGAAAAAAATGTCATTAATTGCAAAAGTGAACTTATTTCACGCTTGTTTTCGTTCGACATAAAGTTTGCCATCGGGAAAGAGCCTAACAGTGACTTTTCTAAATTTTCACATTTTACACCTAATCAAAGAATTAAGCGGTCGGTCCATATGAAGACCGAATGCCACATTAGAAAATGTGATTATGCTGTGTTTCGTTGTATGCGACCCTGTAAAGGTCAGCGTCCAGTTCGCGGAAGTTTCAATCATGCTCATCATGGTCAAACGCAGAAAAATGATGATACGGTTTTCCTCATGTCACGTGCTTTCCGTCGTTTGCATGTTGCAGGCTTTCAATAACTACAGAACACGAACATGATCTAATGCGGTTCGATCAAACGCAAAAATTTGACAAGATACTAATACAAAGTACACCGCAGGCAGACACTGATCAAGGCCAATTTGACCTCCAAGATCCAAATTCCGGTCCTGAGGATGTTCAATGCCGGGAAGGGGATTTTGGAAAAGTTCATTTAAGGTCTACTTTAAGATGGGCGCGTGATATCTATTTAGAATCCTATACATATTATGCAGCTTTTTTACTTAAATAGATTCAACGTAAAATGAATTGAAGCTGCAAATTCCTCTGGATGTAATGGAAAAGTAGCGTATGACTATGAAATCCATTCGGGTATTTCTCTTTCCAGTAATGCAGGGTGCATCCGTCAAACCATTATTATGCAACCAATATTCTATTTCTGTCCTTTATATCTTCTCATCTAATTGGCCTTACTCATTTGTCTTTCTTTCTGGGTCAAACGTTGTAAACCATTACTCTATGGATTGATAACATCATTAAAAAGTCGTGTTAAAAAAGCCAACTATGGGGGCCATTAGTGGTTCGCCACGGTCTAGATGATGAAAATGCGATTTGATTCAGTCCGTGTGAAATCTGACAGCCGTTAACCCTGTAATGGGAGTTTTACTCGAATACAACGATGCAGGAGAGTATCAAAACGGTGTATTACGATGGATAATGAAACAGTATAGAAGATGCCGGAGATCTACAGCGCGAAACTTTGTCATCTCGCTCAATGCGAGAGGCAATTATTTAATCTAATTTTGTCAGAAATGGCCAGAAAAACTAAATGCTTACTCATCCTTGTGTTATTCTAGATTTGGGGCATTTTGGCAGACCACGGACTGATAATTAATTATAAGCCGTTTTCAAGGAATATTATGTTTTGTGAATGCTTGTCCTGATAAAACAATGCAACGCAAATTTCAAAACGGATCGGATAAAAACGGATCAGACGAACAAATCTAAAAATCGATGTGAGTAAATTTCGGAATTCACAAAATGATAACATCCTTCTATTTTGTACTGGGTGAAATTGTTCAAATTCCAATCCGTTTTTGTTCAGTTACTTAGATTGGAATTAGTTTAAAAAAATTTTACTTCCTTTTATTAGATGCATATCGATGCAATTTTCAGGAAGCGGGAAGCGGCCAATCAAAGGGCTGCCATACAACACACGATGAGGAAAGTCTGGCGGTTGTGTTGGGAATCGAACAAGTGTCTCCCGGAGTGATAAGTAGGTGATGTTACCACTGGGCTGGCACCGCCTGACAGGGACCGACCATTGAAGAAGCATGGATACACTTAGTCATCTTGGTTATCACTGAACTATAACTGTTAATTTTTGATGCCAGCGGTCAAATTTTCTGGTCTGATTAAGATGTTGAAATTGGTTAATGCGTCAACATCTGTGCTTCTAAGGATTCGCGTATCATACTGTAAGAATTTTGAATGAATTCTGTTCATAATTTTTTTCGGCGATCTGGATGTGCAATGTGTTAAACAAATCATGGGAAAAGTATTTCTGTGAAGAAGAAAGCAAATCGTGTTTGGTTCAGATGTGCGATACCTACAGTTTACCCGACCCAGCGATCTTATTGCAAGTTCACAAACTGCACTTCTATCCAGTCAAAGCCTGACCCACAGGATAGCCGAGCAGTGTGAAGTATTGGAAACCCATAATAGATTGGTGCTCAATATGTTAAATCTGGTGTAGTTAATACTGAGTCTACACGTTTAGATGTTCATTGCATTGCATTCATAAATAAAATACCTCCGCACTTTGCGATTCGATTTGTGTTAAAAAAATAAATTGTCATATTTAAGATGTGTATTTTAAATGCAGCGTGAATCAGTAAACAATGCTATCTTAGTTTGAATAGGAACAATCCAGTTGGACTGAGGGACGGCAGTAGCCAAAGCAATTCGTTATGAAAACAAATACCAAAGAAGAAAACCTTTTAAATCAGAATTCAGATGTAAACTAATTGAAATTCGATACAGAAACAATAAACATCTACCGAAATATTATCCAATAAAAGAAGTGAGATATTCTACGCAAATGTTTTCGTTTCCCAAAACATACCAGTTGATTTCAATCCAGTCCTAACGTGGTCATTGTAAATGTGTGCAGATCCAAGTATCTCCGGTGGATAACAGTAATTTGAATTGGCATACATTTGTGATTCAGTCAAAGATTTCTTGTTCGCTTCACAAGGATGCAGTTCATTTGGTAGGGAAGAACAAGTGTTACTTATTTCTGGCGGGCAATCGCCGTCAGAATAGGCGGTCAAATGTAGTATACCACTAGTAGCTTGATTTTCCTCTGGGCCAGTCTGCCTGATTGTTGTGCGGCCTGCCAACGGCGGTACAGACACAATACCCGAAATAAAGCCTGATTGGCTTACGCCGTGATCACCTCGTATGTGATTGGCCGATTCTGTTTGCGCATTCTGTTGTGTTTGTTCTCTGATTGGTTCCCTGGAATTGCCTACTAAACTAGTTGTCTGAGTTGACGCCCATATATTCTGACCGGGCAACTGGGAGGTGGACCCAGATATGCCTTGTTCCTCATTTGCGACAGTAGATTCAGGAAAAGCTGGACTAAACGACTGATAGGTGTATTTTGGAATAATGACCACACCGGAGTCGGATTGACGTTCATCAGAAGACTGCTCCGGATGAGGTAAATCAAAGGCGACAACCTCATCACTGTCACTGTCTCCTCCTTCATTAGCAGACGATCCTCCACCACCATAGGTTGCTTCTTCGATCCGTGAGAGACGTTTTCGTTGCAGGTCGCTAAGGTCATACTGGGCTTGAAGACTTGGTTTATAGACTAGATTTGGAGGCAGTATAGTACCAGGCGGATTAGATGGTACAGACACTGGATAGGCAGTCCAAATTAGTGGTTCGGATGCATCGTAGTCTGCTTCATCGCCTGAGGACGAAGATCCTGATGATGGGGATTCATCTGAACTNGGAATCGATACGTCGATTACCACGACTGCGTAGCACGCCCAACGGTTCGGGACTACTGAGGGGAGATTGTCGAACTGGACGTTGGAGTGCAGTACGTTTATGCGAAACAGTTTCTCCAGACTAAAATGTGATATAATGGAAAAGAAGAGCACTACTTAAATGAAGAAATACAAGTGAGAATGCGAAAGGTAGATGATTGTGAAAAGAGGATCATGTTACAAATCGGGGCACAATACCTTTCAAATTATGAGACTCATACGTTTAAATATCATTTTGTATTTCATTTTCATTTGATTTCATTTGTTTACTTTCAATAAATAATAATTGAAGTTAAAACTAACACGAACAGCCAGAATATATATCATTTCGACCCGCAGATTGCTAACAGGAGACTATACATCGCTAAAACTAAGTTACAGGTTATCTACAACCAAGTATGTCTAGTCGAGTAGGGTCAAAAGCAACACCATCATTATGAATTGATTGCAGGTTTTTCAGTGCTTTCCGGTGTAGAACCGAAGTGAGGCTTTACGATGGTGATTCCTTGCTGGCACCAAATTTCGCCAAGTCGCATTCTTTAATCAAAATTTTCCTTAATCTATGCCGAGATGAGAAAAGAAAAAATTCAAATGATTTCCCGATAGTTAATTTTGCATTCTTACCTTTTTTATCAGCTCAAAACGTATGAGGTACAATGTAGATAGTTTGCTTACCTAAGTCAAGAAGTTCCATACAAATGGTGTTTTGACATATTTATTGACCCCGATTCTCTGTTTTATCAATGTATTCAAAGATACATCCGCATTACGGAGAATTAATTGTTTATTATCGCTTAAAATGTATCTATAATTTGTCGGTCTGGTAAACTATTCACTGAGAGATCTGAAATAGGAAGTAAAACGGCACTAAGCGCCGACATGCGGTTAAGTGTTAAAATCAAGCAGTATTTCTTATCAGGCCTGCGGAATCATTAGAAGAAACACACACCACAGTAGGAATGAGAAGCAGGAAACCTCAATGAAGGTCTTCACATTGGTCCGTAGTTTGTGTACGGATCACTCCCTCAAATGTGCTTCAATCACACAATGTGACTTGCATCGATAAGGGATTGCTTAGTTTGTAGCCGAAGTAGTATGACGAAAGCTGCTTCAATCGTCTTTGCGCACATTAGTTTTTCTCACATGATTTTGAACAACAAAGTTAATCGAATTAAACTGATGACCACACAGAGATGTTCTGTACACAGTCTGGAGTGACTTGATACAGAAAATACATGATCGGTTGATCAGCCTACCAATGACGGATTATTTGACGAGTAAAATTTGCATATTCCACATCAATTCACGTGCATTTGTAGTGCTCGTCAGATCAAATACGCGACGATGGGATCGTCGAAAAGGGCTTCTGTCCGCAAAAGAAAAACAATTTGGTGTATCTGCAGTGCAAACCTGTAGAATATGGTGAAAAACAAAACGGGCTAGATATAATGACGTGGTTGAAGACGATCTTAACAGCTCCTATTTTTCAGATCAAATGAATTGGTGGAAGTGTTCTCAGTATACCAATCCGAAGTTTTATTTCCGAACTGTGCTAGCAGCATGAACATGTGCAATTACTAGTGTTTTTATGCACATGACCAGCACATGGCGTTTACTCTCAGCAATAACCTCCAACCTCAATAATGTAAATACTCATTTCTATGCATAACTTACATGTTCTATCGTCTTGTTCACCTGTTTATTCTCTTTGGGCAAGAATTCAATTAAGCTCTGTCCTATTCGTCTTGCAGATATCAATGCTGGAACTATCAATACATGTTCCAAAATAAGCGTTTGGGATTAGCAATGCACTAATAAGTGGTCAGGGTATTAGCAAAGCATATAAAACGATCTTGGTTCCACAGTTAGAACGTTTGTCTGGAAACTCAGAAAACACATCCCTAGGAGCAATTAACAAGAATGGAATTAAGTGAAGACAGATGCCTGTCTGGATTTTCAGGTGATAAAAATGCAGGAATGGGGTTGCCAGTGAGGATTAAAGGTTGAGGTGTATTTGTATAACTTCCCCGTAATAGACTGTGCATATAAGCATACAAAGAATCCGGAAACGTACATTCAGACTCATTACCTCTGGGAATTCTACCATTTTCAACAATCTACGTTTTGAAGAAAATATGATTGCTTCTAACTGGTTTGTCTGAAAGGGCTAAACGATACAAAAAACGTCTCTCAGTTTGACTTACTAACTGGTTGATTCAAAAAAACAGCTTTCTCGAGCCAATGCATAGTGCACCGTAGTTTATTTCACGAGTATTGCACATTTGCTCCAGAATCCTTATTAGCAAAATATATAAATAGTCCTTAAATAAACTAAGCATTCCTTATCGACTCAATTATCAGCTTTCGATAGCTGTTTGAGTGATGGTGGTCCTTGATGATTAGCAAATTTACGGAAACAAACTAAATGACGGGAATGCTGTCACCATTTACTTACTCTGGCCACACGTTTAGCCCCAAGACCCAAAAGCAAAGTATACATAATACAAACTTGTCAGTTCCCGAGCAGGAACACCTTTTAGCTGAAATTTAAATTTAAATAAACTTTTACTTATGGACTTCTTGGTTTTTGAATTGTTGCAAAATACCAAGATCGTTAGTTCAATAATTTATGATTTTTAAAAAAGTAATACATTCAATAAATGTAATGATTCAGTTGTGTCATTTTCGAAAACAAAATCGAAATCTAGTTTAGAATATATATATATGAACTTGAGTCATTATTCCAACTATGATTTTCGGTCTGTTTTTTCACACAGAAAAAAATTGGCTGTCAAACGTTTGAACCAAATGAACAGGTAAATCAATGTAGGTACCGATAGAAACATCCCGAGTGTTATAAATTCTCTTCTTGTGCCCATCGCTTAGCTCATTCTTGACACCACTTTATTATTACCAATACAGTCATGTTTATTGTTTGGTTCCCAGGAGTGTATGCATATATATCCACATGTATAAACTGTTTTACCTATATTGCACACATTCCGTTTAACAAAGCGTGTTTTGAAGAGTACATCTTATCAGTTGTGGAGTGTGTTATATTCCTTTTCCGTTTTATTTTCAAACACTCAAAGGTTCATCTTTTGTTGTTGGCTGAAATGTACAGACAAAGGTTGCCTGTTTCGTGACAATATACAGCAATGCAAAATGCGTCTTGTGAATAATAAATTTCACTTGTCAAGTGTTTTGATCGGTCTGATTACATTCATTGAGTACATCATCAACTATGATTAGGTGCCTTCGTCTGAAACAAAGTACAGTTCCATTTGTATTTGAAAGATGCACAAACTTTTGATTGTTTGTACCCGGTTTGCTGACGTTGACCACAACCGGTTAGACAATCTAATTTGAACTGGAACAAGTCAATACATGAAATGGTATAGTCGTGCAGAAAGACCGTGCTCCCGGAGTTCCACGTCATATGGCGAGTGCATAATAGACAGTCCGCATTATTTTGACGGTAATCAACGCACAATTTGCACCACTATCGAATTGAGGATTGGGTAAACTTCCGGTAGTTTATGTCCTCCTCAGTTTATGAACTGGAAACCCGTGCCCCGCCAAATGAGTGGCTATTGCTTGACCGGATGTGTAAGACACACTGGTCCATTTTGATTGCCCGTTCTGAGGGCACCGGCATTTTTCTCCAAGACCCACGACTGTGGAAAAATAAATTTATCCAGAATGGTCATTGTTGCATGGTTGCTTGCGATTTGTTTACTAGTGTAATGCTTTTTACAACGAGTTGTACAGTATTGATAAGAACGTCAGTGGGAAGAATATTTTTATCTCGATTTCTTTTGACTTCATTTTTCGGTGAGAATGAAGGAAGTATGGTTATAGAATTGCTTTCGTCCTTTGTAAATTATATTTAGGTAAGTGGCGTGCGAATTCAACGGACATAGTTAACATTACCATTGCATTTACGAGCGAAATCCTAACACTAAAATAAAATTAAAATAATGACTGTAGACAATATCTGTTTCTAGAAAATATTGCTTGCATAAATTTTCAGTGTTAAGTATGAAACCGCTCAAAAGTTGGTAAAAATGAACGACAAAGTTAGCTAGTTTAGGCTACTATGCACTATTCGGGCCCATCGACAAACCAACGAATCGCTTTATTATTTCCCTTTCTAACTCGATTGTTTATTTCTGCTTTTTTCCTATAAACCCCAAATATTCTCGGATAACTTATCAGTAGCGATCGGCATACGTGTTTGTACAGAATTTGAGGTCACCTTTGATTTGACTTTGGCCAATGAAAATATCTAATGGGTTCTGGGAGGAAACCTCGGGAAACGTTAGGCAGTTATACTTGATAATTTGCATGAGGGTCTTTCTGGTTTACGTGGTAATGAAGTAAGAAGGCACTACTTCCTTTAAACGATGCTGTTCAAATACTCCAATGGCTGCACAAATCATATACCGTTGACATTTAGCCGAGTCAGATAAGCCTTATATGGGATCTGCAGTTTGCCGTCAATACTGTAAAGATAGAAAAATCTGCTGCTGACCAATCAGGTCCATTTTGTTGAGGATTTCACTAGACAGAATTAAATACATCAAAAATTAAAGCGTTTCCTTTCAAATTAGAGTCAATCACATTTGCACCTCCAAATGGCCAAGCCAATGATAAACTAGTGCTGGGTATCAATAACGAAGGCAAAATGTTGCTATCGCTACAGCGTTTATTGTGAGCTCACATTACACTTAGGATAAGCCTCAAAGTTGTTGTTCATATTGCATTCGTATAAGAAAGAGAAATCTGACTTATGTAAGTTAAGAATTCCGAGATTCAAAAGTTTTCCATCATTTGTATCTGCTTCAATTCCTTGAAACAAAAGTTTGAGGCAGTGTGCCATGAAGAAGCAGCGTGGAATGGCTCCAACATTGCCACACTCTTTTTGCTCGAAATTCGCCGCTTTCAGTTGTGAGCCGAAACAGAACTAACCAAATTGTTCAATTCCCTGTCTTAGTTGGACTTGCCATCTCAATGGACATCTCAACAGTGTTCTATGGCGATTGAAGATAATATCGTGCATCTAGCTCCATGGTCGGTCTACGATGTGCATAAATCGATGAAGATCAACTCGTGACCTACACAAATCTTCAAATCATAGCTCTTAGAGAAAAATCAACCACTATAAACCTTGAGCTAGACCATCCTCGAAGAGAAGCTAGCCAAATAGAAATTGGAGCGGAATGGTTTGATTTCACAATCAACCTACAACGAATGTCTGGTGTCCATGGAAGATATAAACGCTCCATCAAGATGAAAACTATCCTTCAGTGTTCTAATCCTAAATGATTTATAGAACAAAGCATTGTTTTAATATTACCGGTGTTTTATAGGGAATTTAGGGTGGATATTTTATTCACATCTTATTGTAATTTGATTGATTTATCTTGGAAGCCAATGAATAACGCATTCCGCATCACTTCATTGGTCTAAAAAGTTATATGACAGTCTCACAGATGCCTGTGCAACTTTCGGATATATACAGCTGGGAACGATGCACGATGAAGAGCTAGCAATTGTAATCAGCGAGTTTAACGTTTGAATCAATACCAATGTTCAGATTCTCGAAGCGTGTGATTCTTTCTGCAATTTTGTTTAAGGCTTACACGTGTAAGCATCAGTGATTTGTTACCAAAAAGATATTTGTGGATGAAT